TCGACGGTTGAAGCTAAGTGTTGGAGATGTCAATTGAGGGCGAATGTGTTACACACTAAAATTATACTCTTCACAATACTTTTATACATTTATGTAGGTATTCAATAATTTATTCACATTTTACTTCTTGAAAAAAGACATGATTTTCTTTTGCGACATGTAATATAAGTGGTCGCAATTTCTGCCATATATTCACACATGTGTGTTCCAGTATATATATTGCAAGCTCCCGAATGTACTTAAACTGTCGAGAGTTCGCGAGCCTAATTTGTTTCTAAACTGAAATTTCCTTAATTGCCAAGAAATTTACATCGAGGTTCGTGCGTAAATCATTTCGGTATTTACGAATTTGAGATATTTCATCAGACTTAAAAACAAATTGCACCCGAGAACTGTCGACAGTCTAGAATATACTAAATAGTACATTGAATCCATGTTTACCTTGCAATTGAGTAACGTTATAAGGACTGACACTCACAGATGAGACTCACAAGATAGCTGTGCACCATAAATCCCTTCAACCCAAAATTTCAAATGAAAAACGTGTCATGATCGAAAATGTAACTTTACTTTATTTCATAACATTATTTTAACCATATGGTCTATAGTTTTGGCCTTTGAGTGATCATTTAACATGGTACGAATATCATGTGAAGCGATAAACAATTGGAATATATTACACCCCCATTTAGCCATAAATACTCACACGGTACCCCCATTACGGTACATCTGAAATACAGCTATTTATTTAATATCAATTTGCACAATATACCGGGTAGCAAAATCTATTTTTGAGATTGAACCAATCACGCTTAAATGTGTAAAATGTTTACAAATGTTATATAAATCATGTCACGTGGTTAATATGACATACACCTATGACTTGATTGGCCTACTTAAGGTCCCGTTGTTGTCATTCTTAGTTACACAGCAACTATCGGGGTACAATATTAACTACTTCCATATCCATCGACCACGTTGACCTCCATTTACCGGCTCTGTGTGTAAACACGGCATGGCACGGTAATGCGCATTAATACGGCGAAGGGTCACTGATATCAATGCAAAATAGAATTATGGCTAAATTTAGCCACATCACCTTAATGTCAGAGTTCAGTTTTGTTATCGGCCAGAACCGGGTTTTTTCCAAAAGGAGTGTATCATGTTTCGATCACATGGCCTGATATGGCAGCAATTTAAATAATCAGCCAGATGTTAGCTAAGATAGTTTTCTTTTCTAGTTTATTTACAAAAATGCTATCAACAATGTCGAAAGATGTGTCAGAGACAGAAAAACGGTTCTTGTCCTATAC